GTGGAAGTATCTACCTGCGCATCGGGTATAATTCTTTTTCTTGCTTAAAAATCGTCCGTGTTCAGTACGTAAAATTTTTTTAAAAGAAAAAATAATGATGATCTGCTTAGCAGCATTCTAAAAATTCTTCGACATATTATAAATTATTTACTTTTTTCATTGTAATTAAACTGATTTTAAATCAGTTCTGTATTTTAGAATGTTAACAGAGAGGGGGAGAGAGATTTTACTTCCTCTTTCTAGAATGAGCGCAATTTACTCCTTGGTCAATATATTTCACACCTGTTCAGAAATGCAATAATTTTCAAGCGTATTTCTCGTAGCAGCAAACATTATTTTCAAGGACTAATGTTTACTACTTTATGTTTTAAAAATCCTCTTAGTGTAAGGAATTATTTCAAAAAGATTATCTTTATTTTAATCATTTTATTTCTTGTAAAGTGTTTAAAAAGCAATGAGAGAGAGAGAGAGAGAGAGAGAGAGAGACTCATACAACCCCTTATTACATAGTCTGTATTTTTTTTTCAATTCTTCGTTTTATTTAAGTTACGGAAGTCAAAATAAATCTTTCTATAATTCTATTTACTTTTCACAACTTTGGTTCACATACAACTCATTTAATTCGATCGTTCTCTGTATATGCTGTGCGACCTGTCAATCAAAATTCCATGACGCTATTTGACCTTGAAAATCTGTTTACGCGGAAATAACATGATCTCTTGTGATTTGAAACATTCTTAAGTTATGGTCAGTTCTGAGTTCACACCTGTTTGAAAAAAATATTGGGTCTCTGCCGGTGGGCCAGGGGCGCCGTATGTTTATCACACCTTTCAAATTTTTTAGCTCTGACCACAGCAATGTATAACACACTCAACAGATATCAAACGAAATTCATCTTCCACAACTAAACTTACATGTACTTTTAAAAAAAACACTTATCTTTTTCAAACATATATAAGCATGTATCCCGTATATTTAGATTTTTAAAAACGTAACATAAATTTGCAGACCTCTGATAAAGTTATTACCAGCTGATTCGTATCACTGTCAAGAGAGGGGGGGGGGGGCAAATCATATAAAATCACCAAATATCTAATATATGTTTTCGCAAACTGTTTTTTTTCTTTTCAATTATCATACGATATATCTCAGAATGAAATAAAATTCATACTGAAGTTAGTAGAATTCATTTACCGAAAATTCTGTTGGTGTTTTTTGTTTTCAGCGTGTAAGTTGATCACTATTTTAATTAATAAAATTCATCGGATTATCATCTCTGCCTGTTGTTCATAAGATTTTCGAGTTTACCGCATTTACTATTTATCTCCATGTACATTTTACATTTATTATAGATTATGTCTGAACCAAAGAAATGCCGAGTAATTATCAGATATACGTATTTTATTTTTAATTTTATTGTAGACCCAGTGCATAAATTTATTTAAATTTTTACAAAATAATTAATTGACTTAGTAAAATCACGCATCTGATATGTACATGTACTACATATAAATGCATGCCTAGGGATATCTTCTATGCACAATTCAAATGAACACGGTTAAAATTAAAATGGATTGTAGAGACAATGATTATCAAGTAATTCATTCATGATCGTGTGTTCCCTCTTAGTGTTATTTTAAAATAATAGTCTATTGAACTTATTTATGTCGATTTATGTAATAAGGATTTTAGCTTAAAATGTGATTGTAAGACCGCGGAACATTAACTGGCAAAATTGGAAATATACAGCTTACGTCATTTCTATCTGTTACAATCAAAACTTTCAGTGCTAGACAATGAAATGGGCGGGTACAATTCGACGCGGACGTCGGGAAAACATGGGATTGAAATTGCCGATTGAAATTCATTTACATAGCCACCGCCACCTAGTGGGGGTAGGCAACTTCAATTTAACCACCCACCATGGACTCCTAGCGTACTCAAAACCCTCAGCAACCCATCCATCGTGAACATCACTCTCTCTCTCATTGCCAACCCACTGTAGAACTATCCTGCATTAAAATAAGTCTGGTCTCCCTTCAAATTAATTGGGCCTAACCCCCCCACCTCCTGAATTTATATCTTTCCAAGTTACTAGTATATTGCTTTGGGTCTCAGATTCCAATTATTAATATCCAGCTGGCAAGAGAGAACTACTACCTGGACTAATGTAAGAAAATTATGTAGAAAATACGTTTTATTTACACTCCCCCTCCCCGGCCCTTTTTATTTAATGTTTATAAATTTGAATTTTATTATTTATTTTTTAGGTGATAAAATACTTTCATGCAGAGATTAGAAACAAGATGAATGAGCACCTTTACTCTTTAACCCCCCCCTTTCCCTTTCAGCATGATTATGCTATTCCTGTATTGTTGACAATAATTTTAAAAGTGTTCACATGCCCAGTTTGTAAACTGCAAAACATGTTTTGTGATATTTGGTATTGTATCTTGCCAGTTCTGATGGAATGATGTTATACATGTACCACTTATTTTGAAAGCGAACTCTTCAAAGGACGATTTGAAATTGATTAAATCTTGTATATAATAAGTACCTTTCAAACCAAGACACACAGTGGAGGACTTTGTATTTAATACTGCTCATTTGTAAATGTAGTTGGACTGCAGCAGACATTGAAAGGCACATATGACTAAAACCTTTATTCTAAACCCCTTCCCAGCTGATGCTCTATCAAAAATGCATGATCTTTTCACACCTTAAGCCCCCCCACCCCCCCCCCCCAAAAAAAAAAAAAAAAAAAAAACAATATACACCCCGGATCGATACGCATTAAAAAAAAAACGACACCATAATGTAGATTTTTTGATAGTGACAAAGACTAAAATCTGCCTAAAAGTCGAGGAGCTAGCAAAGATTAATGATTATTTTTAAATATGCATATTATATTAAAATCCTTTCAAATACAAAAGATATATTTTATTCAGATGTTATTAATTTTTTTTTCATAATAATACAATATTTCTTTACCATGTTCGGTAAACATCAAAGAATCAAGTTAATTTGAAGGTGCCTACAAGTCCCAAACAAGGTGTACAGGGTATGCACAGTGACCAGTAAGTTAATGCCATTCAAATTCCAGTATCAAATATAGACCTTAATGCACTTAATTGACATGGATACGATGACCGTCAAGCGAAAACCAGGCTTAAGTGAAAAAAAATCACTTTTTCTTATTTTTATTGATTTAGATAGAAAATTTTCTCCTATTTCTAATGATATATAGCTTATTGTTCAGAAATATTGATAAATACGTTCTAAATCCCCATATAAACTTGCGTAAACAAGCATTAATGTCACAAGTTTGGGGGATAACTATGGAACGCCATAGCTGCCTTATGTGGCTATTTTATATTATGCTGTGGTTATTTTATATTATGCTGTGGTTATTTTATATGAAGATGGTGCTCTTTTATATTATGCTGTGGTTATTTTATATGAAGGTGGTGCTTTATTATATTATGCTGTGGTTATTTTATATGAAGATGGTGCTCTTTTATATTATGCTGTGGTTATTTTATATGGAGATGGTGCTCTTTTATATTATGCTGTGGTTATTCTATATGAAGATGGTGCTCTATTATATTATGCTGTGCTTATTTTATACGAAGGTGGTGCTCTATTATGTTATGCTGTGGTTTTTTAATATGGAGGTGGTGCTTTACTATATTGTGCTGTGGTCATTTCATGTGATGGTGGGTTTTTTTGAAATACATATATCATGTCAAGATATTCCCTCATATTTTTGAAGATTAAATTCAATACTGAGTTTATCAGCTATTATCTCGAAATGTTGAAAGTAAAACAAATACTAGAACTAGTAATTGATGTAATTAAAATCATTCAAATACACTATGACTATCGCTAATTCCTCTTTTTTCCATCAGTTATGCACTTGTTTTCAGGTTGGTGTATTTTGTGTATTAATGTTTTCCTAAGTGCATGTGTCTAAGATTAGCACGTTTCAAAAATGTCGTTTTACTGTTTATAGGTACGACATTTGCCATTTTCGGGAAATCTAGAGAGATTTGTTGTCTCTGTCATTCCGGGACGCCTCAACATTCTACATATTTAAAATCGTCACTTCCATTGCTATCACTTGCAGTGCTAAATATCAAGAATTTTTTGTTTACTGCATATTTTATATGACAAGATCAATTTGGTAGACGATTGAAGGGTGTTATTTAAGGATTATTAAATGTAGATTTCATCCGAAATTATGTCCGAAACTGGTAGGAAAAGTGTATATATTGATTAAAATCAAGAGTGAACAGAGCCTAGCACCTAGTAAGGGCAAAATCTACATTTAAAAATCCTTTAAAAATCCTATGTATTTGAAAAAAAAACACCATCACATGAAATAACCACAGCACAATATAATAAAGCACCATCTCCATATTAAAAAACCACAGCATAACATAATAGAGCACCACCTTCGTATAAAATAACCACAGCATAATAGAGCACCACCTTCGTATAAAATAACCACAGCATAATAGAGCACCATCTTCGTATAAAATAACCACAGCATAATAGAGCACCATCTTCGTATAAAATAACCACAGCATAATATAAAAAAGCACCATCTTCATATAAAATAACCACAGCATAATATAATAAAGCACCATCTTCATATAAAATAACCACAGCATAATATAAAAGAGCACCATCTTCATATAAAATAACCACAGCATAATATAAAAGAGCACCATCTTCATATAAAATAACCACAGCATAATATAAAAGAGCACCATCTTCATATAAAATAACCACAGCATAATATAAAAGAGCACCATCTTCATATAAAATAACCACAGCATAATATAAAATAACCACAGCATAATATAAAATAGCCACATAAGGCAGCTATGGCGTTCCATAGATAACGTCGCATAATTTTTATGACGTTGCTGTAAAATATTGATGAGAAAGCAGGACACCTATTGATTGATAAACAATTTTTTTGAGTAATACATGCAGATATTAATGAAAACACTTTCACAAGTTTAAATTTTATTTTCACAATCGATTATATTTAATGGTTAATCAATTGTTATTTAACCATTCGTTGATAAATTTGTCGACTTTCACTGACAGTAGTTATTCTTCCTGGGCGTCAGGGGAAGGGGCGACGGCGTCCTTGTAAGGGACCCTAACAAAGGTCGAATGAATTTAAACAAGTATTCAGCTCTCTCTCGACTTAATCCAGCTGCTGGAATGACATTGGGAGGTTGGATGGTGCCTACATCGATCCCCTGTTTTAGCAGTTTCATTTCTGTGCCGGGTGAATCTGGTAATTCTTTGGCTAAGACAATACCTTAAAATATTAAAATTATAGGCGAAATGGAGAAATTAATTAGAGGGAAAACAAAGAAATTTTTTTTTATTTTTACCAATTATACCTGGTTTATCTGCCTGGAAGACAAGGTGTCTGTATTTCCTGATGCCCTTGAAAGAAACGAAGTACTCGGAAGTAAATGTCTTCCAATCGAGCCATTCTCTGCCAGCCCCACCAAACAATGACTTCATTGGACCTCGCGCTTTTCCTAACCACGGATGCTAACTGTTCCAAGGAGTCGACTTCAGCCCTTCTGTATAACTTTTTGATGTAGGCAAATTCAGCATCTACCAGGCTTTTGCCATGATAGGGAACTTGCATATGCAAATTTATTTTGGAATGCTTGCCACTCAGAATTCTCCACATCAAATATGCTAGCATGAATTTGTTTTTGTTTTCCCCTGAAAAGAGAAATATATGCATTTTTCATTTCCCCCAACGAATTCAGATAATTTTATGGTACCTGGTATTTTTAAAATTTATATCTTTATAATTTAATTCTGACCTGAAGCATTATCACAGTGTAAGTGACATTCTTTCTCACCTAGTCCAAAATTCTCAAAACAGTAATGAAGCATCGAAATCACTCCAATTGCGCCCTTGACCTTGGTTCCGTTTTCCCATGGTGTGGAATCCTCGTCTATAAGGAAGTTAAACTGCTTCCTTATACCTTTGTAAAATGCAATCATTATTGTTAATATCCCCTTCTGATTTTTTTTTGGGGGGGGAGGGGTAAAAAGTGTATTTTATTTCAAATACAGCATCGAATTTATAACAATTTTTAATTGATTGTATACGGAAACTAACCTTCCATAGCAACTCCAAACACCTGGACCTTTCTCGGAGTTGCGAAGTATAAAGGTCCGACTTGACATACGTGATGCGGAATAGATACAGCTTGAGAATAGTCGAATGTATAATGAACATTCTGTAGGTCCATCGACATCCCTGGCGCTGGATTTACTGGGACGGGTTGCTCAGCTATCTCAGCTCTTGCATTTGTAACACTCTGGTTATACAACTGTCATTTAAAAGGAATAAACAATTAAAACATTAAAATATTTTTTTCAAGGATTTGAAATCGTCTATAATGCATCGAAAGAGAAAACATATTATTTGTAATGTAGATTTTATTAGAGCATCATTCTTTAAATACAAAATGTACAAGTAAATTGCACAATTTATATTGGAATATTTTAATGATGTTAATGATGTGGAACTGTAGTACCTGTCGTTCTGCTTTAACTTCATGCATGCAAGTGTGTACTATATTGATCGTGTGCCACTAACTTGTCGTTTTCCGTCATCACCGATTGAATATCATATTTGTGCTGCTCATGCACAGACAGGACACACGTCAGTCTGGGGGGACATGAATTTTATACTGGGACAGCAACTTTGCCAGACTCCTTTAAAGGTTGTAAGTCCTACTGCTGTTTTGTTGTTATCAGTACAAATATCTTTGTATATTTTATACAAAGACTGTTTGCTTTCACTGCATGGTAGAAGTATGTGCCCTCCAATATTTCTGTTGACTGCTGCCGGCTGGGGCAGGCCATGTTCCTCAGCATAGTTGGTAATGAACTGGGCAGCATCTCTCAAAACATCAAAACTGTATGCATTTTTCGGCCGCTTATGTTTATTTCCATGAGTTCTCGAAGTCAACCCATTTGTTGTGAGATGTCGAATCAGAGATTCTAATGTAAATTTGCCAATGTTGTGGGTGATCAAAAATGTTTGTCGACAAACTTCAACATCTCTGAATTCATAGAGGTATCGAATACGTTTTCTAGTTGAACCTTCATCTTTTGACTGTCTGCGCCTAGCCTTTACCTTTAATTTCGCCATGATATAGAAATCTCTTTCATTTCTCGTCATCTCGGATAAGGAAATAACATGTTCTCTGATATCTGAAAAACTAAATGTAGAGATACAGTTTTTCGCACATCCGCATCCCTTTTCAATCAGAGAGCGCAATTTTACATCCTCGGTGCATGGATTATCTAGAATGTTGATGTCGCCTTCATCGTCGCTGTTATCAGAGAGATTTTCATTCATCTGCTCTTCGACGTACATGTGGATCCGTGCCTCTAAATTTGCTGGATTGTCATCTGATTCGTCATCATCGCTGGTATCATTGATAGAACATGTATCTTTGTTCTGATTAATGGGATTTCTTGTAGGAAAATATTCTGTGTTGATAATTTCTAGGTCCTAAAATTTGTATAATTCAATTAATTATAAAAGTTAGAATGTATTAGCGGTATTATAGATCAATTCAACAGTTTCAAAACGTCTGCTTTAAACTATTCGTTTCTAACTTATACAATGTTATATCATATTAATATTTTAAGAAATATAAAAATTTATACAGTTATGTGTAAATAGCTTTTCAAGAGGCGGATGCAATAAAAGTGGAAGGGTGAACCCCCGTAGTTTTTATGAGAATAAAATCTATAAGATAAAAGCAAAAAAATAACATAGAACCCCATCCCGGAAAAACTTGACTATTCTCTCATATTTTAAAAGCAGGTTGTCATGCTGTAAAATATCACATAGACCGGTAACATACTTCATTGATTTTACGTATCACTAATACACACTCTTTGTATATATATTGTGATTAATATGTTTACAAATCAAATTTATACAATATGTTAATTACCCTCCCCTGTGTTAAAAAGTGTCCTGAAACATCCTTCCACTCAAACACATCATACAAACAAAATGATTTTTCACATAAGCGTTGTTGTTTTTCTTCCTTTATTAAATATATATTGTGCTTGACAAATACTTGGGGGGGGGGGGGCACTGACTTTCTTGCTCCGCTCTTGATTACATTTAACAATTATGTGATATGTAACAAAATGACAACGGCAAAAATCTGTGCAACTTCAAAAATCAAAAACATACAGCTAATTCTAAAATTCATTTAAACGTTTTGAAAGGTTTGAAAGACACACGCATATTTTTGAAAGGTTGACACACGCAAATTTCTTTCTGAAAGAACTTTATTTACACAATGCGAACTAACGATGTTTGATATAGCTACTACTGAACGTACCGTGTAGGTAGGCAATATTGTAAATAATTTATTTTTAGAATAGTACGTCTCTATCCTTCAGGATATTCGTGAAAATGTTTGAATTTTAAGAGAATCGTGTGTTTTTTCATAAACATGTCAGCACATCCCAAAAAATAACTTGACAGATAACTTTTCTGCTCATATCCCGATCTATTTTTATTCAAACAAACATTTTCATAAGTTTACGTATATTTTTCATATTTACATAGAGTAATGTGTTATGTTCAAACTTCCTGTTAAACGCTGTGGAATTGAAAAATGATGATGCTGAACAACAGTTGTAAAGAGTGCAATAGGCTAGCTAACATGTCATATTACTACGATGATTGGCGTATATTTAACATGTGTAAACTTGGATGTTGAATATCGATGACAAACATGTCAACGGATGGAATTACACAAAATCAATTAATAATTCTCTGTACATGTAGAGCTAGGCATATTAAAATAATACTTACAGACAGTTCCGTGGTCCGTGAAGAAAATCATTCACTCTCAAACATGACAGCGTTGCAGAAAATGATTTTATCATGACGTTAAATTATGACGTCGACTTTAGCGCTCGTTTTCTCGATAACGTCACAATGCACTTAAGCCTGGTTTTCGCTTGACGGTCATCATACCTATACCAGGCATGTTTGAAGTTGGTTTTTAAAATCTCTGTCTTTAAACGTACTAATCGAGGAACCAGTACATTTATGTAGAAAAATAGTACATTAAAACTTTATATAAAAGTTTATTGCTTTTTAACCTTGGTCCGTGCCCTCTCTGCGTGACCTTTTATGACCGAGATTTTTACAAATATATAAAGTTTAAACAATAAACTCCCCTCTATTCTGACCTCATATTTTGATAAACAATAAGTTTATGTCGAACTATTTCTTATGACAAAAACGCCAACTTTTTGCATAATCCTCGTATACCGGGAAAGGGCTTCAAATTTTGACCTTTACTCGGCACACAGAGCCACTGAGCAATAGGCCTCTTTATCATGTAACCTGATCCTGATGTCACCTGATCCCACCTCTAATATTTTTGAGGTCCGTGTTTGCTCTAACTTTCATGTTAAATTCTTAAATCTGATTGGTTTAGACGCAGTTAACAATCCGTTCTATTACCCTCAGCCTCAGCTAGCAACACACGTGACAAGGGGTAACACAACGGTAATGCCACATGCGTGGAAATTATGCGCGTACGGTTCACCGTAGAATTCTAAAAGTGTCAGTTGCGCGTTTGAAAGAACAGGAATAAACTAAGGTCAATAAAGCTTGCATCCGATGTAGCTTACTTCAAAACAACAAACGACAGACGAAACATGCTTGCAAGTGCAGAAATAACGAAACTTGAGATGACTAAGGACTCTTATTGTATCAAACAAACAATAAAGAGGTCAGTAAATCTTTTTTGAAGTAGCGGGGAGATTGAAAGCTTTCTACACGTGAACGTAAAAACGATCGACGGTTTTTTTTTTTGCTGACATCCTAAATCAACAAGACATTCAGTATAATAAAATAAATGGTGCCTGTTTTGGGGGGTAACAGTTGAAATTGACACCCGTCGAAAAACCATTGTCAACCTCCGCTGACGCGTCGGTTGACAATGGTTTTCCTTGGGGTGTCAATTTCAACTGTTACCCTCCAAAACAGGCACCATTTATATAATGTTTTATGGGCCTCTATCTTGAATATCTTTCGTTATCTGCTTATGTTTCACTCCTACTGTGACAAAGGACCTCGGTTTCTGAGGTCTCATCCAAAGAACTCGTCACCTTCATTTCGAATAATTTCTTTGCGATGGAAGGGTTGCTACCTTTCTTAATCAATTTTGCATGTACACTAAGATAAAAAAAAGAGCCCACATCGGCCAGACTTTGTCAAAGCTATAACATTGATAATAGAAAAACAGGATATTATACTGAAACATATATTACAACATAATTATGCTTTCCAACCAATGGTTGTTCACAATTTTTCCCTTTTAAAATGATACGAAGGCACAGCATTCATTACCAAAAAAAGTTCATCTTATAAACTTTATTTAAAAGTTGATATACATGTAACAATTTAATGCATTTCATAGATCAAGTAAAGTAATTTTATCAAAATAATTGTAGATTTAAAACACGAGCACTTACGAATATTTATGCTGTTTATTTTCTTTAGAAGTAATGATAAAAATGTTTTACAGGGAAATATACTTCAGTAATATGTATATATAAACAACACAAGTCAAACAAGATAAAAAAGTATTATCATAATTTTGTATTAAAGAAAAATATTAACAAATAAAACTACAATGTATCTTATTTTGTATACAAAATGGATATAGCATAATTCGATTTAAAAATCTCTTCCATTAAAAAACATTGATCACGTTGATCTCGTAAAAAAAAAAACATGAACTTGGAGTTTTTAAATTATTTTATGCATGTAACCTTATCAGTATCGTACGCGCTGTAAGGTGAATATGTTTCAGCCATCTGTACTCTGATAGTTTCTTTGTTGTTTGATTATGGGTCTTAATTCAATATCTTCCCCCTTTTTATGCGATTTTGTTTTTCTTCCTGAGCCTTTCTCTCTACAACAACACAGAAGGTTTTCCAGCCTGACTGGGTCATCAAAGTCCCGCCTATTGGCATTTGCATAATGTTTTTCATATTTATTGAATGCATCTTTAATTTCCTCTCTGTTATCATCAGTTAAATAGGAGCCATCTGATTTCAAAACTAATGAAAACGCATAGGGACCAACTATGATAAGGGAAAGTTCAAACACCTCTTTGAAACTGCTTTGCGAATCTGTTCTCCCGCTGAGAATAAGTGTTTCAATAGTAATCATCAAATACATTAATACCACTATGGTCTTAAGTATAAAATAGTAAATTCTTTTCTTCACAAATGAAAGTTTTTCTACTATGTAAATAAAGCAATCTTCCTCAACTGTAAAATTTTCTAAACTAGATTTATCTTCCTTTTTATCCACATTTTCACTTTCTGATTTTCTGTTTTTAACCTTAAAATCCAAATCAAAAGTAAGATTTTTCAAAAACCATTTACCAGCGTTTTCATTGTCTTTGAAATTAGCACTTTCTAACTTTCCCTCTCTAACTTTAAGATCAAATAGATCTTTTTCGATTGTAAAATTTCCGTATTTCTTTCGAGTAATTAATTCGAATATGTAAGATAGAATATCTGAAAACATGTTGACTATTTCTACATAATATTTGAAAAAGTAAAGAAGTGCAGCCAAAATGATAAGTACATACTGTGTAAAGTGAGCACGGATAGGAAGCACAACAAAAACAATATATGTAATTGATCGCAAAACAAATGTAAATGTTGAAATCATTGGACGCAAAAAGAAATAACAGGCTGTTGCATATAAAGCAAATAAAATCCATTGCAGTAGGTTGATCAAGCAGCAATTGATTCCTTTTAAAATAGAACAGCAATTATTTTCTTCCAAGCAGCAATTATTAGCAATTATTTTCTTCTGAAATGAAAAAGCAATTATTTTTTTTAAAAACAACTTTTTATAAGAATGTCTTATTAATGATAAAATGGGGAAAAGACAATAAATAAGATGCCAACTCAGTTTAAAATGAAGCCACAAAAAGGACAAAACTTTGTTCCAGAATAGCAGACATGCCTTACAATACACAGAGCAAAAACGGTTATTTTCAGGAAAGGAAGGTAACAATTGGCGAATACAGTCCTTACAAGTCAGCCCACGTCTTTTCGTTTTTTTGCGGCATGTACAACAGGTTATTAGACGAAATATCAGAAGGAAAATACCAAAGTAAATCTTTCCTAAATACTTACAGGTAGACATAATTGATGTAACATGCATTATAAACCTTTTGCTAATTCCAAATGGTAATTTACGCTCTCTGTCTATGTCGGATACATATATATATAATGATTATATAACCAGGTGCAGAGAAAGATGCCTATTAAGGGAGCTACTGTCGCATACAAAATATCTGAAATAACAGCGGTTTCTTCATTTTCTAGAACTTGAATAAAGGGTTCGCTTGTACGCACAACGTGTCGAAATTCTTTATATATTTTATCTGTCATATTTTTGCGTTGCCAAGTTCGATACAAACCAAATGGAAATAAAATTAATATCCATAAAATGAACATAAGACGAAAAGCGGGGTTGTTATAGTAATATTTGCTCAGGAAATCTAGAATACAACTGGAATTTTCGCTACATTTACACTCTAATTCTGGCCATTCAGATTCAAAATATTTAAGCAAAGTTCTTTGCAAACCATAGGGTCTGTCTCCTGTTTTATAATCAAAATTCATTATTCTATGCTTTATCAGAGTATCATACTCCATTTGTGACTTAATTTCATGAGGTTGCTTTTCGCGAGTTTCACTATCATCCTCATCAAGCAATGGTCTATTTTCCTCCTCATTGATATCTTTCCGTGAAATGCCATTTGTTTTTGTCAATTCTTTTCCGTTTTTCTTTTCAATATTATCGTGTTTCCTAGTCTCATTATTTTTATTTTCTGACTCATTTTCATGATGTTCCATTGCCAAAGTTTGATCAGTATCTTCTGTCGACAATGTATGACTTTCCTCAACTTTGTTTTCTTGCTGTTTTACAATGGATTTGTTTGTAAATCCCTTTTCGTCATCTGTTGTTGAAGTATTATCAGAACAAACACATGAAAAGACTATTTTTTCCTGCACAATGTTTTCTACTATAATAAACATCCATACGAACTGTTGAGCCAAGAAAAAACACAGGAGCGGTGTGATTATAGGAAATTCGTCTTTGCTTTCCTCGAAAATTCTTATCTGGTCACTAAACTTCGTACAGTTCAGATCATACCCCATCCAAACAGTTGTCAGCAAGTAAATATTTCTCCGATGAACAATATGTTCAAAATATCTATTGCACAGGATAAATTCCGTAAAGTTAGCTAAGACTGTGTTCCACAGTAATGTATGAATTAAATTGATAGTAGCAATTCTATTGTCATCTGTAATTTTACAGTTGGAATTGTTTACGTGAATAGGAATTGTAATATCACTTTCTTCTTTAAAAACTTTTAAAAGTTCATATGTTACAAGATCAAAGTCAATCGGCAATTGCACAAGAAACCGTTCTTTCTTAAGTATAAATTGCCACTCTAGAAGGTCGTTTTCAGTTTGATATCGCAAGTTTTCAGATGAGATGTAAGTCGTTAGTGTTTGAATTGAGGGCATATCTAAATGAATAAAAAAAAGAAAACCATGACCTTCTTCACTTCTGAGCGAATGTATTCTTGTTTGCGCATTTTCAACTGCTTTCCTGTCAAACATAAATGTGCATAAATGGGATTGATTTTCTAGATTTCCAAATAATTCCTCCTTTCGTTCCATTTCGCTATATGAATGATGAATTTCACTGTTCTTTTCTGATATCTGAGTCTCAACAAGACCGGTTTTGTTTAATTCGCGCAGACTTGTTCTATCATAATGAACACTAGCGTCTTCAATAACACTCCAGTATGTCAGTAGACAAAATATAGGTATGGCGCTAATGAAAAGCGAAACAAAAGCAAGCCTCTGTCTGAATTTCATGACTAAAATAAAAACAATACAAAATAATCA